GCTTTGTAGATACAAAATTCGTTTGGTCTGTTAAGCCCAAGTAACATTTTCTATTGCTCTTCAGTTTGAGATAATATTAGCCAGAATTGCTGCAGCTGCTACTACCCCTCCTTTGTCCTCTTAGTCTTAAATTTATTTGCATTTATTCACTGGCTTTGATTTGGAATTATCTTCAAGCTAAAGAATATATATCCCGTGGAGCTTTTGGTTTTCTGACCTGCAAATTTGCTTCTGTTTTGATTTCGTGCAGCTCCATGGAGGTTCGCATGCCTAGTTCAGCTTCCATTGTGAGAGGGGAGCCTCTCATTATTATTGTTGCTGCTGCTGCTGCTGCTGCCATAGACTAGCCGAAAAAAAAAGAAGAAAAAACAATCTGCAATATGTTTATCCATTTCTTGCGGTCGCTTTGGCGGCATTGGCTGACTTTGGAGCTATGACAATGGCGCTTTTGCCCAGCCACTGGAATGTGGCTCCATTAAATTGTGAGCCCAATACACGATTTGCTGCTGTTGCTGCTGCTGTTTGTTGTTGCTGTTGTTGTTGCTACTGCTGCTGCTGCCGTTTTGTTTGTTGTCGCGCTACATTAGCAATTTAATTGATTTGTAGGCAACAATTTGTCTGGCACCAAAGATTGTCTCGCTCCCTCTCTCTGTCTCTCTCTCTCTCTCGTACACAGCATCCAGCAATCTGGCTCGTTGGCCTCCATTCGAGCAGCAGCAGCAGGTTTTTCAGCTGGTGTGTCATAAAATATATGCATTACATGCGACACATCAAGATCTCGCCAGATCTCTTTTTGCAGTGTCGGGGGTGTTTCATATCGCATGCTAAATCAAAAGACTTCAGACACAAACTTGCCAACATGGCCGCCAAGCACGTAGCACAACAACAACTAAGAAAAACTAAATTGTAAAAAGTAGAATAGTAAGCCGAAGATGCTATACCCTTGGCTACAGATTTTTGTATTATATAGAAATGTGGGAACAATATATGTTCAGTTGGCATTTTCTTTTCCTGAAGCTGAAATTGGCTGCAATCAGAGAAATATGCAACAAATTTCAATCAGCAGCAACAGCAACAAATTGCAACTACATCTCATTTGCACTAGGATTGACAAAATCCATATACCCATCGCCCTACTAGCAGCAAAACGAACTGAAAGAGTCCATTAGCGAAAAGAGATGGCAACAGGTGGTAGAAGAAGAAGAGCTGAGCCCTTTGGGTTTGGCTTGTTTGTTTTCCACATCGTTGACTGCTCGTTGAAGCTGTGTTGTTGCTGTTGTTGCTGCTGTTGTTGTTGTTGCTGTTGCTGTTGCTTGTGTTGCTGCTGTTGCCCTGTTGGTTATTAGCAGCATTCAGCAGCTACACCCATTTAATTAGAGGCCTCTGCTGCTGCTCTCTGCTTCACACAGCTGTCGCTTAGCAATAACAACAACAACAACAACAACAGCAACAACATTACCAACTGCTGCATCATTTAGCAACCGGAACCGGCGGCCATTTTCAATGATCTTTTGCATCATCCTGGCACAAATGAGTGACTGCAAGCCATGCAGTAACAGCTTACTCTCGCTATGAACTGCTTGTAAAACGAAGAAAACTATTTTCTAGTAAGCTTAAACTTTAACTTAAGATGAAACTTTTTTTTAATTTGTTTACGTTGAGATTAGCATGTAATAATATAACTTAGCCTAACAACCGATTAGATTCAGTAAATTTTATACATATATTTTATTCTTATTAAAAAATAATTAATAGGATTATATATATTATAAATATTTTTTTTTTTTTTACTTCATTCTAAAATACTAGAATCATAAATCTTTATCTTTAATTTGTATATATACAAAAAAAAAATAATACTTATTATAATAATTCAAATTAAAATATTAAATTTGTATATTTATTGTTTTCCTAATTGTATACAAAAATATAGTATATATTTTAATTTTTTGAATATGTTAAATTTGATACGTTAGCTATGATAAATAAAATATATTTATATGCTTGAATACAACCTTATGCACGATTTCAAAGAATTTATTCATCAATTATTTATCTATTGCAGCTAGTTGGACCTTCCGAATAGAACTATGCAACCTAAAAGAAAAGTGGACTTCATTCACGTGAAAATCCCTTGTGCTCAGCTAACCTCGTCAGTCAGTTCAAATCCTGAACAAAAAGAGTCAATTGGAGTGCCAAGTTGTAGCCCCAATTTCGGCTTGGCCTTCCCTAAGTTTTCATGGGTTAGGTAGCAGCTTTTTCACCTGCTTTCAGTGCATGATTTATGCAGCTTGCAGTTATAGAAAGGTCGCCTCTCGGTCTCTAGTTTGCGACACCTGCGGCCCAGGCTGGCGGTAGCCACTGTCTGCTGCTCCACAAACGAATGACTCGGACTTGGAGTCTGAGCTCTGAGCTGTAAGCTGTGGCTGGGACCAACGATCGGATAACTTAATTTGGTTTTTCTGTCGAAAAGCGGCGCGAAATGCGGCTAATGCGTTGCCACGCCTACAACTGGAGTAGCATACAAAGCTCGCTGATGACCCAGTCAGCCAGAGAAAGGGAGCACCAGGAAGGAAGAGAGAAGCGGACGAGAGAGTAAGAGATCTGGCTGCTGCTTCTCAATATTAATGGGCGTCCCGCATAAATTTACACTGTTAAATATATTTTCGGCTTGCCCTGATGAAATGGCAGCTACCTCTCTCTCGCTCACTTTATATTACTCTCTCTATCTCTGTCGCTCTCTTTCTCTCTATCCGTTTTGGCAGCCTTAATTTGAAGCTTTCTTTGTGTGTTGCTTATAAATGGCCTCCCATTTGTCTCGGTCAGTTTAATGTGCGTCTTCCCAACTTCATTAGCCTGGCCAAGAAAAGTTCTGGGAACGTGGCCGGGCAGCTCCTCTGGCCAGTTTTACAGTTGCACATGCATACGCAACGCCCACGCCCACGCGTCGCCTGCCAAAGGCGCCTGTTAGCATTAAAAAGTGTTGTTGCTGTCTACAGTGAAAACTCTATTAACTTACCGTTTTCTAGGGCGAACAACTCTGAAGAGATGCGCTTCATAATTAAAGAAACGTGTGCATGGAACGTAGCGAACGTATTCGCAGAACGGATTCATGGAATGTTACCTATTGTTACCTACTTTAAGATCTGTGAAACTCTTTCGCGGAATTAGTTTATATCTGATAGACTTTGCTTTTAGGATGAGCTATACATTGGATGTCAGAGCTTAAGTCTTCCAAATGTTTGTTATCAAATACGTATCATATAATTTTTCGATTAGACTTTCTGTACTTTTACGTTAACATATATTAAGAGAAAATCATATTCCATTTGCTTATTTTAACATTTAACATATCAATCAAAATATTGGAATTTACAAATTACAAAAATTTTTATATACAATCATGAATCGTTCCTTACTCTATCTCTAAAGCGAATTTTCATTGTATGTCTATATAAAATCTTGAATTGAAAAACTTAAATCTAATTTCTCGGTGGGTTTCGGCAGTTAAGTTTCTGCGACGGCAGCTGCAGCTGCAGCTGCGGCACGCGTGCGCTTTAATTCCTCCTGATGCCGCAGTGTAATTTCCAGAAACTTGAGATATTCCTCATCCACTTCCTCCACCTCGTCAGTGTCAGCGAACAACTGCTGCTCCTCCAGCTCCTCTTCTTCCACCTCCTCGTCGTCATCTTCGTCCTCCCTCTCACTCCAGCTTTCAGCTTCCGCCTGCTCCATTTGCCTGCCACAAACGCTGCGCACCTGTGCCTGATGCCACGCTAGTAGGGACTTGTACGTGCTGCACCAAATCTCGGCGGGCAACTGTGGTGCGCCCACGGCCGCAGCTGCTGCTGCTGTTGCTGTAGATGACGCCTTTGGCTTCTTACGCTGATGTTTTCGTTTGCGCTGCTTGCGTCGCTTCTTTTGCTTGCCAAGTTCCATAGTTTGGCTTGTCCGTATTAATCCTTAATATTATTATATATTGTTATCAGCATAATTTTGTTTATTTTCTTGTTGCTCTACATTCTGTGTCTATCGAATTTGTTTTTATCGTCACAGTGCTGCCAGATAGCTAGCAACAACAGCTGGGCTGAGCAGCGTTGCCAGCCGAGCACCACTGCTATTGAATGTGAAATGAAAGATAGATGGCGCACGCAAACATTGTTGACCGTTGCAAATTTAAAAAGGTTACATTCATTCGAATAGGAACTGTCTTACTAAATGTACTAAATTATTTGAAAATAATTGTTAATTATTTATTAATGATTTAGTTTGCATAGATAAATAAAATACATTACACTTGAAATGAAGAAATTAATCATTTTTAAATATTTTACAGCACTATGTTGTAGGATCGACAGTCTAATCCTTTTCAGGAACCCCTTTTCGCCAGCTGACCCGCTGCTTGGTCGACCGACTGACTTCAATTTCGGAAGCCGAAGGCCTGCGCTGAAAGGCAATGATTGTTGTGTTGTTCTTTTAAATGAAAATCCTGGCCAGGTTCGGGGCTTGAGCCCGGGCCAGAGCTCGAACGAGTTGCGACTGCGTTGCTCGCTTGGCCAGGGATTAGGGCGGATCAATTTGCTTGTGGTGCGAATGCAAATTGGCCAGCGGTATGATTTAAATGAGGCTCAGCACAAGCGTTCAAACAAAAGGCGGAAGAGGCGGCCGATTGAGTGCATATCCTGCTGTGCGCACGGTCCAAGCCGGAACAACAAATGTCCTTTTATGCATTGGTTGTTGCTGTTGCTTTTGGCTAGAGCTTTGCCCGGGCGCAGGTCGGGCCGGGCCTATAAAGGAAAATTAGGTTTACACCTACTTTTCCAATATGGTCATAAAACAATTTAGAGATTTACAAGGGATCAACTTAGATGTGGTCCAGCCTATGCCTCTCCCTCTCTCACTCACTCCCACTGTCTGTCCATCTCTTTCCATTTGCGTGTGCGCGGACGTCTGTGTGGGTGTGTGTGTGTGTGTGGCGGGGCAAGCCGCTATGGTGCGCGGCCGTAAAAAGCAATCCACAATCCTCCTCAACTACTCATGAGCTACTCGAGAGTCCTTGGCACTCCACACATGTTTACTTTGGCTGCTTTCTGTGGGCGTGGTTGTGGGCAGGGGGCGAGGCTTTTCATTTTCGATGAAGTAATATACGCTGATAATATGAAAAATATCCTGCGGCCAGGATTTGCACGCACTTATTCCCTTTTAATGGACTCCAACTGACATTTTGGGCCAATATATTTTGCGCATATATGTATATTTGCATATTTTTTGCCAGCTCCATCGGATAATGCCCCACTTTTGTGTGTGTGTGAGTGTGTGTGTGTGCGCATGATTTTTTTCAGCTTCTTTTGTTTTTTTTTGTGCGATTGCCAACACTGCCATGACAGCTCGCTTCAACGCTTCACACACTCACAATGCGCAAATTGAAGCTGTGAATTGGTCCTCTCTTTATAATGGAGGCAGTTCTTGCGCTGTGCATTAACCAACACTATTATTAGAATATAGACAAATTAAAAGGATGAAAAGCTTAAAGTCTTTTTTTGCTTTTTGGCGTTTTCCAACATTTCTGTATAATCTAAATAAAAAATCTCTGATGGAATCTCAAATTTTACTTGATGGCTAAAGCAGTCTTGTCGACAGAACAGCTCTTTACTTTTCTGCATTAACCAACACTTATGTTTTTCATTGAAAAACTTTCAGGATCTGAAAGTTTATACCCTTACAGCAATTGCGATATAACTTTTTGTATACGCATAGGTTTGACATTTTTGCATTAACCAACACTAGTTGCTGTTTGCATAGTTCTTACGCCCCAAATATATGAACTGACTACCAAATGAAATAATTATATTATATCTCTGGTTGGTGATTGTATATTTCCATTTAAAAGCACAAAAAGCTCGAGTCGTTATGTTAGGCAACACTGGAATTCCGCTTTTCTCTTGCCTTTTTCATTGATTAATTGAAATGGTGAATTTGTCTCTTGGGTGACAAACTGTACATATATAATACCAGCATAAATAGACATCGTAACAAACTCTGCTTAAATTTATAGTCTCATCATTATTAAATCCTACTCAAACGTTAACCAACACTTGGACTCCTTAGCCATTCAGCAACACTCAAGGCACGGGCGTGCCAAGATGACAATTTGCCTTCACAAAGGGTTTTGCAAATTGATCTAGTCCGCGGCTGAGCAGCAGGTATCGCTCAGCCGGTGGCGTGGGATTATAATTCTTGAGCACGGGATGAGCCGCAGCTTGGACGAGACTAGCCAAAAAAAAAAGAGTGTAGGATAGAGCGGAAAAGGGTAGAGCCGGTTGCTGGGCTAGGGGTAGGCAAGTTAGTAACTCTCATTACTTTAAATGGATTTCAATTAAGTTGCAAATTGATCTCAAAACAATTGAGTCCCGTCGAGGCGTTTGAGTGCACTCAGTTTTGTGCTTTAACCACACCGCGTCCTAAGCCAACCCAAGCGGCAATCCGAGCAGCAGCAGCAGCAGCGGCAGCAGCAGGACAAACACAATGGGACAAAAGGGCTGCTGCTGCTTCGATTGCCGCTGCTGCCACTGATCCACTTGGTGGTTGTAGGCGGGCGACTGTTTTGCTCTTTTCATTGAGCATGGTAAGCGATACGCCGGCACCCGCAGCTGCCGATTGCTGGGGCAGCCACTTGACGAGGCGCATCCCCAAAGAGTGAGAGGCCGAGAGTCGTGACTGGCATCTTTTGCGCTCTGCGCCTGACGTTGACAGGATAACGAGATTTTCAAGTGGACGCGCTGCAGCCAACACTTCACACCCTTTTCGACTGGAAGCCGTCTTCGTTACAGCTGACCCATCTGACAAATCTACATAGATACAGGCAGCTCCAATAACATATCTGTATATACATATATCTGTATAGGGATATGCAGCTAATCTGCGCCATTCCTTAAGGATTTTTCTCGCAATTAGTTGCAGGAAATTGAAAGGCAAGTAAAAAAGGCAGCGCAAAAAAGTGAGCGAAGCGATTTTCCAAGGACTTACACACGCTTTGTGCACCAGGATCGCCAGCAACAACAACAACAAGAACAACAACAATGGCAACAGCAATCAAATGCGCATCAGCAAGCAGCAGAAAGTGCCCAGCCCAGCCCAGCGTTGAGCAGAGCAGAGCAGAGCTCCCTGCCTCTGTAGCCTCTGTTGCGGCTACAACGGGGCTTATCCCAGCTGAGCCTTGTTGCGATTTGAACGGTCAATTGAAAAGCGGCCAGAAAAACGATCGCTTTTCATAATGCCCATGTATGTAGAGAGAAACAAAAGAGAGAGAGAGAGCGAGAGCGAGAGCGAGAGAGCAAATCAAAATAAACTGCAATTGATTGCAGTTGATGGAAAAACTGGTACGGGATCTGGTTTTGCTTTGGCTCAGTAGCTGCCATTGTTTTGCCATTGTTTTTTATGGCCGGCGCGGCAAATAGAGGCAACAAAACAGAACACAACAAGCAAAAGAATACAAAGCAAGAGAGAAAGAGAGAGGGAGAGAGAGACTGAAACTGGCAGAGTGAGAAAGAAAGGGAAAAGTAGGGAGCAAGACTTTCTCTTAACGAGCGTATTCGACTGTCAAAATATCCTCTCTCTATCCATCTAGATCTATAAGCAGCAGTGAAAACTATATTTATGATTTACATACATATGCATATCAATTAATAATTATCGCTTTTGCCAATAGACATTGATCGATTTATAATTTAAGTTGTCGAAGAGAAAAAGGTATTTTCACTCGTCTAATTATGGATAGATTTTCCCTATGTTAGAGAAAGAATTACTAACTATAATTATACTTATGTGTGTATAAGTACGTATACTATCTATCATAAGTCACTACTGGGTTAACTCTGACCAAAAACTGGGTTAAATGATGTCTACGTGTTACTTGAAAAGCTTGACGTAGACCCACTCCCTTTATATCGGCCATAATCCTTAACAAGTAATTCGAATATCTAAAACTTCTTGAGACTTATCTGCTAGCATATCGAATTGGATAAGTTTTTAGCTCTTTTTAGTCGCGGTTCTTTCGTTACCTTCTTTATAATGAAATGCACAAAACTTCTACTCGAATGCCCTGTAGAACAAAGAAAAAAAAACTATTTATGGAACTAAGTCGGTCGAAAATACATATGTTGAAAAAAACTAACCTGAAGTTCTTAATATTAAACAAAGATCTTGATCTGCATATGATATGGGATATTTATTTATTATAGATTCGAATTAATCTAAAATTAAGACTAACTTAACGATTAGGGATATATTATATCCCTTATCATAATAATTGACTCAATATATATTTTATACTATTAATTTATGATTTTCTTATATCACTTTTTTATTATTATATCCCATATCACAAATCACAACCCAACTAGTATCTTTACAACTAGACTAAGTGCAGCCTCTTTTCTTCTGCTTGATCAGAATCGCCTTTACCCCCTTTACTAATCATCTACAATATATACAGGGTATAGAAACAACAAGAAATATATAGAAGAGAGCAAGAGCTGGCAATAGAACGTAGGCCTCGGCAATTGTAAAAACAAACAAATGCAGCGCGACGAGAGCTGCGCCGTCTTGCGAGGCGCTCCAAGCAGAGGCAAATGCCTCTACCGCTCCTGCTGCTCCTGCTCCTGCTGCTACTGCTGCACAGGCTCTATTTTCTCTGGCATCTTTTGCAAGCCTTTTCTCGTTTGTCTGTTTGTTTGTTTGTTTGTTTGCATGTTTGTTTGCTCGCTCGCTTGCTGCGGAGCTGGCATAAAAAGTAGACTACTATTTGGCTTTGGCTGCCTTTGACAAAAGGTGCCTAGCACCCGATACAGGCCATACACAATGCCCCCCAACCCTAGGGATGAGTGCCGCCTCAGCCCCATTGTGAGATTTGTGTGGAAAAAGAGTTAAGGCAAATAGCAGACGAACAAAAGTTCGGCCCACACGCGTTGTCCTGCCGTCCACAGGACTGGCTCTGGCTAATTAATTGAGTTGAAGTAATTTAGAGTCGCTTTTCAC